AGTTACAGCTTCTGCTACAGAGCTAAAGTTCCTCTCCAGTAGGTGATACAGGGCCGTGTTGTTCAGTTCCTACACAGCAGCAGCGCAGATTGTAAACACACGCGTGTACACACAGAACCCAGACATACACACAGAGATAGAGAGACAGACAGACAGACAGACAGACAGACAGACAGAGAGAGAGAGAGAGAGAGAGAGAGAGAGAGAGAGAGAGAGAGAGAGAGAGAGAGAGAGAGAGAAGAGAGAGAGAGAGAAGAGAGAGAGAGAGAGAGAGAGAGAGAGAGAGAGAGAGAGAGAGAGAGAGAGAGAGAGAGAGAGAGAGAGAGAGAGAGAGAGAGAGAGAGAGAGAGAGAGAGGAGAGAGAGAGAGAGAGAGAGAGAGAGAGAGAGAGAGAGAGAGACGAGAAGAGAGAGAGAGAGAGAGAGAGAGAGAGAGAGAGAGAGAGAGAGAGAGAGAGAGAGAGAGAGACAGATAGACACACACACACACACACACATACACACAAATCATGGACCATCCAAAAGTCGACAACGAACTGGACCCATTACTAGTACTCTGAAATGAACATGCACATTGTACACACGGTCGAGGCCTGATAATACATTAATCTCGGGGACTTGACCTATCCTATAAACTGTTATTATCCAGGGTAGTACTCTGAAGAATACAGTCAGACCTCGCTTATCCGGATCCCTCGCCATCCGGAAGAAAATTGTTGGTTACCAATTTACAGCATATGTCATGCATACATACAGTATGTGTGTTCGATTATCCGGTTCCCCTGCCTATCCGGTTAATTTTGTGGAAAACGGATGTGTGCGGCTAAGCGAGGTCTGACTGTATAATCATTTAATTTTGTTTTGTTTTGCTGATTATCTTGTTACAGTCGTGGATAGTTGCTTCATGCCTCGTTCCCATGTTTTTTTCTTCTATTTTACATTTCTTACTGGCTCAGTATCCGAGGTATATATATATTTTTTAAGCGAGCCTTCAGGGAAATACCGTAAAAGCCCCTATACGCCCACTCGAAATTACGCCCACCCTCCGTGTACACGCCCAGTCAGGGGAAGTCAACACTTTTGTTTCAAAATAGCGCCCATGCCCATGTATACGCCCAGGTATGCGGCCAACGCCAGTACATGTACAGGTACTGATACCCAAAACTTACTGCTATCCCTATTCCAAGTATACGCCCGGTTCCAAAATAACGCCCGTGCCGTTGTTACGCCCAGGAAATCGAGGCTGCTACTGTAAAAGCAGAAATTTTCGGTGGTGTAATATTTCGGTATTCTCCAAAATCGGCGGTTCGGCGGAGGGAAATTTTCGGTAAACCCGCGTTCCAGGTAAGTGTACTAGTACTATACCGACATTTTCGGTGCGTTTTATTTTCGGTAAAAATTTCGGCACCGAAGTTGCGGAAAAAAACACCACCGAAAATTTCTGCTTTTACAGTATTCTATACGCCCGGGGGCCTATACACGGGCTTTTACGGTAAAGACAGTCTACTCTTCTCCCATCCAGCCGATACTGACTGCTTATTGAGCACGGGAATAGGTGAGAATCCTATCTGCTTGATTGTCAAATACTTGTACATTGGCTGACAGCCTGGTGCCACTAGATTGTATACCGGCCATGACACGTGTACTCTATTTTCAAAAAAATTAGGTGCTCAATATTTTTGGTATGAGGGCAAAAGGCCAGGTTAGGTGAACAGAAATTTTAGGTACAGAGCAGCATTTCCCTATTGGATTATGTGTGTTAGTGTTTGTGCGGTGTATTGAAATTTTAGGTATGAAACAGACGCACCGAAAGTACCGAACGTAAAAGTACATGTACACCGAAAATTTGTGAAATTACAGTACTACCCAAAGCCCTGCATCTACTATTCTGGCAACATGGTGGCGTCATGGCAACATGGTGGCGTCAAACCATGCTGTTGACTTACTGCTGCTAAGTCGCGAACATCTTCGGGAATACGATAGAGCAGCTGCCACTGAGCGTCATTGAAGCTGCTTAGCGACTGCAAAACATTGGTGATTATCGTTGCACTGCGGGATCCGAAATCGAAGAGAGTGCAAGAAAAAGCGCAGCGAGGAAGCACCGTCAGATATGTCAATAAAACAAGTTGCAAACGATTCCCTAGTTGCACACCGCATGGAAAGTGTGGCCTTGATGAGGTACACTGTGTGCTTGCAGCTGTTTGGTACAAAGCAAGCAGTACATCATGCAGCTCAGCTGTCTGGTGCAATGCAAGCAGTGGACCATTGAAGCTGCTCGGTACAAAGCAAGCAGTGCATCATGCAGCTCAGCTGTCTGGTGCAATGCAAGCAGTGGACCATTGCAGCTGTTCGGTACAAAGCAAGCAGTGCATCATGCAGCTGTCTGGTGCAATGAAGGCAGTGAATCATGCAATTGGCTCATAGACAAAGAGCAGCTACACACTATTGCTCTGCATACATGTACATGTGGTGTGCATGCTGTAAGATCTGTGATTACTGATTAGCAACCGCCCAGCCCAGGGTGCAAGTGAAAGCCAGCCTCTCAAGACAGGTGGTCTTTGTACAGAGGTCTGGATGTATGGTTTGGCATGGTGTGGGACATGTGATGAGTGGTCTTTCAAGACAGGTGGTCTTTGTACAGAGGTCAGGATGCATGATGTATGCATGGTGTGGGACAGGGAGTAATACAATACTATTGTACGAATACTACTCCCTGGTGTGGGACATGCGATGATTGGTCTCCCAGACAGGTGGTCTCCCAATGCAGGTGGTTTCTTAGTCAGTACAACGTAGTTGCATAAACAAGACGTTGAACAGCAAGACCTCATAGTGAGAGGGCGACGGATAGAAGCAGGCAGACAGGAAGTAGTGGAGGACGTGAAGAAAATGAGCCAGAAAGCACGCTTACGGTGTGAAAGTGTATATAGGAAATCCGTTGGGATCGCCGTCCACGTCAAAGTCCTCTCCAGCGACTTCTCTACAAACTAGAGACTGGATAAACGGCACGTGACCAGCACTTGGCATTGCGCGGGGCCAATTCCGAACTAAACACAAACAAGTTGACATCAAGGAAGAAATGATCACAACGTCGACCAATACAAGGTGCTATTGCAAACATATGATACACTTTATGAGGAGGATGAGGAGAGTATTTAATACTCTCCTCATACCCAGGATGTGACTTCATCTGCAGATAGGAATCATATCAACACTTCTCTTCGGCTGACAACTGAAGAAGGGTATTAGCAGAGTAGTGCTCTCTTGCTGCACGTCATACACACTGCAGGATACTGACGTGCAGTACACAATACGTGGGGTGGTGTGCAGTGTGCCGGGTACTGCGCACTGCTCTATGCATTTTGGTATGTGCAGCACATAACCCTGCACTGGAGGATCACTGGCCATGTATGGGAAGGGGGCAAAGACCATGGGGTTCTTACTGGTTTACCTCACCGTCCTCAGCCTGACCATGGCATCATTGAATTTGAACAAATAAACACAATGTCTATACTGAATGAGGCATCACACAGTTCCATACAGTTCTGCACAGTCCGCACATTGAACGAAATAGAACTCTACAAGGAAGTATGCGTTTCCCGAGTGCACGGAAATTCTGTGTATTACAGATGATATACTCGTAGCTTTCCCTCCCCTCAAACGGTTCTCTCAGGCTAGAGACTGATCAATCATATTCAGCTTACATATTCCTTTCTCCTCTCCGGGCTTCTGAGACCGGATGATGATGAGAATGATGGCAAGAATAAGTGGAAACGGAATCTCCAAGAACAGGGCAAGCTGCAGTCAAGTACACACACATATATACACACACACACACACACCATGTACCGCACACACCTCAGCCGAAGTCTTCAAATCCTCACAAACAAAGCAGGGGCCACACCACACAGTCACACGGTGATGAACTCGGACGTCAACACCCAACAGAACACGTGAGTCCCGATTTCATTGCTCAAGTCAGAGCGCCCCTCCCGCAACCATCATGAGCAAGAAGTACTCACACTTCACTTCTGTACGCCACTAGGAGGTATACAAGTACATGCCGTACTGTGCAGTAACATGTAGCACACACGCACTGCCCGCACACCATTGACCATTTGATGCCCATCGCCGAAGGAGATGATAGCGATGCTACGGCAGAAGCCATAGCAACTTGTGCGGGAATTGCACCATTCAACAGCTTGCAAGGCTGAAGAATTGACCGCCACTATTCAGCCTGGTCTACACCACACAGCTATAAAGTGACTTTTTCCGGCCAGTGAACCCCTACTTTTTGGTCTTTTTCATTTTTTTCCCGCACACACAGCACACCACATGCACTGGCTGTTGGTAACCACCCAGGAGAATGAAAGAAAAGTCAGGAGGAGTCTGAGAAAGAGAAGAAAGACGTGTGTGACCATAATCGTCGGGAATCAAACCCGCAACCTCTTGATTGGAAATCGCTGCACATACTACTGCACCATATGGGACACACACACATGCACACACACACACACACACACACACACACACACACACACACACACACACACACACACACACACACACACAAACACAGAAACATACACACACACACACACACACACACACACTACGTCCCACTGGGGTTGAGGGCTGGGGCTCAAACTAAGCCTTGCACACATCATGCACAACATGAACAACTGCTTCGGACCTGACAGACTGTCTTAGACGAACTTTGCCATTAAAAAATAAGCTCAAGATGCGCTCCCGATGATGGTCGCAGACCGAAACGCTGAATGAATGAAAGGAATTTCAGTGATTAGCAGCATAGTGTGATTAGCAGCTGTTGGCACATACCTATTGGTTAAAGAAAAAATCTGTATAAAAAAGGGGAATAGTGCAAAGCACAGCAAGGCTGGAGTGACCAACCAGCATTATAGCGTTGAATGAGAAGTCAATATACAGAGACGAAAATCAGGCAAGACGGAAATCAGGAGCAAGCAAGCACGTACGTCTCTCCTGTTTCATTCGCACACCGCTGGAATAGAGGTCTACAAACAAGGTACATGCACTGTACTGCTACAGACACAGGGTACTTGCCATAGATTTAAAAAAAGTTAGCCGGATTCGCGGCCACATCACCTGACGTGTTTAGGAACACATCAAGCAAATACATTCGCATCGGCGGGCCACCACTTCGCCAATATATCCTCAGTGTCGAATGCAGACCTCACAAGTGAGTCAGGGGAGAGGGGATAAGTCTCTCAACAAGCGAGCCACAGAAAAGTATGCTGTAATGATGCTTCCAGCAGCAGTAGAACAACAAATCCGGAGTTCACTCAATACTGTGGCGGAACGATTAATCTACTTTCTTGTGTTCGCCGGCCAGGAACCGTGCATCGTCACCTAGAAACGAGTACCAGAGCAATGGCAGTGGAACTGTACCGAGATGCCACAGGGAGTGAGCGTCGAGCACGAACCACAGCGGTGCAAAGTCACCCAACTCTAGCAACATGAGCGCCGCCGTCGACAGCAGTACGGCGGCACACTTCCAGACGTATGGCTGCCGTGAATAGTGGCGTGCGCACCACACCAGCCACAGAGACATGTTAACAAGACCTACCGACACGTTGGCCAGCATGTTGTAACCGTAGTCAAACTTCACCAGCGACAAATAGCCCACGTGAGCACCAAACATCAGAAGAAGGAGAAGCGCAACCGCAACGCGTGCAACGGGTCGTCCCAGCATGGCCATGCGCACAAGACTACAATAGGCGCTGAAGAGAACCATGGCCGTTGCCGAGAAATAGTCAAGCCGCTCGGTCCAGACGAGGTCGCGGCTGTGAAATACACTGGACCAGAGCCATGCATTGCAGCTTATCACACAATGCCAACGAGACAGACCGGACATTGCATAGTCGCGTGACCAGGGCTTGCGGCTAAGCAGCGCCAAGCCAGCGACATTGGCAAGGAGATTGAGCAAGGAGAACAGGACGGACGCCGGCTCCTGCACAAACGACCAGAGGCGATAGAACGGCCACTTGCCGTGGTACTGAAGCACTGGCAAGCCGCTGGCAATGCGATCCTCGGTGACCGCGTGTATGCACACGTAGCCGCAGTTATCCTCGCACGTCCAAGCCAAGCCGGACACCGTCCACACGGTCGCCGTTGTCGTCATGTCCCTGTCGCCATGGGTACACGTCCCAACCCCACATCGCTGCCGGCACGCAGTGTACGCCGGGTCGCGGTCGCCCGCCGACGCGTCGGCCATGGTCACCATGCCAACAAGCAGCACAAGCGGCAGCAGAGAGAGCATCTGCTGCGGACGGGAGCACACAGACGACCTTGACTGCAGCCGGCACACATGGCTCTGTGGCCAAAAAACAACAACAACCGGACCAACCCAAAGTCACTGGTGGGCACCACTATGCTCAAACAAATACTTCCATAACAATAAAAAGTAACTAAAGAAAACGGGAAATAATGAAAGAATATGATACACAGTTGGCAGACTAGCTGGCAAAGCTTTATGCTGCACACTAATGCAGTTTATCCCGTCTGCAAACATACTTCTAGAAGTACTTGGGAGCGAAAACGGCAGCTTATGAACGAGGCATGGCGATAGCTCAAGAGTGCATGGCATCGACCAGGGCTGGGCTTGCTGTGTGATGGTGAAAATGTACAAATGAGGCAACTACAAGCAATACGCGAACAGGGCCACTTCATACATACTGCATACTCTTAGTTACGATGAGCATGGCAGCAAACACTCCACATCTTGTACGCTCCACTAGTGTGGTCACAATCAGAAAAAAACATGCACGTTTTCTGCAGTGTCAGTGGCCAGGATTACGAATGATCTTTACCAGGAGTTCGTATTTCCAGGGTCTTTGAAATGGGTGTCCTCAGCTAATCTTGTTCTATTGCAATTGAAATTCAACCAAAAGGTTATTTGCGAATTGCGATGGCAAATACCATTTTAGTTTGTTTGTCTGCATGCTTTACTGTTGTTATTGGTCGTGCATTGCACGTTTCTACCTCAGCATGATAGCAACGGGCGTTCTCAATGTGTCAAAATATGACACCAATTCTATTCAATTGATCTCCAATAATCCATTCCCTTTATATGAATGTAATATTTCCAATGGACTGACACGACTAGAGGCGCGGAAAGAAGAGTTGGATACACCAGAAATGCTACTTACAGGCTGTCGCCGCTTCAGCAGGAAATTCTTCCAGAGAAGAAGGCGCAGTTGATCTAGCATTCTGGACATTTTCAGTGGCGACTATTGTGAATTCACAACGTGTGAATTGAATACTGTTACTCCGTGACAGGAGAATGTGTCGCCAAGTTAATTTCAGCTCTGTTCGCACAGGAAATGTGCTGATGATTGTATCGTGAAATTATCCAGGCCCATTATTGCTCGGCTGTCCCGCGTGGCCGAACTAGTAAAGGGAAAATAACCCAACAACACTGGCAACAGTATTTTCCTCAAGTCAAACTTCCTTTTGTTCCACGCCTGCTGGTTTTTTTGTCGAGTTGGAGGTACAATTGTACCAGGAGTTCATATTGGGGGTTATGAACTCTTGATTGTACACACAAATGCTTCGAATGACTCACTTCCTGGCACTTCCCGTATCCACTAGCATCCACGTGCACACCATCTCGTGCACGCCACGGAATGGCACGGGCGTGCACGTGGGCGCTTTTTTATTTTTTTTACTTGACCTCGACCTCAGCAGCTAGCTTGCTAGCCTACACAGTATGGCTACACTATAGTCTATTATAGCAATAAAAACTGCTTTATGGCAGTTTTCTAAAAAAAGTTATTGTGTTCTAGTCCATGGACCCCGTCTAAAAAGTAAGAAATTAACGAAATGTGATAGCTGAAAATTAAAATTTCACACAAAACCTCACAATAATCACAACACTTGAAATGCTGCTTTCAACACTAAACTTGTACTCCACGAACAATTGGCAACATGCATGCATAGGAAAGAGGATCACGAGGAGAAAAGGTCTTCTACATGTAGCTTTCATTCTGTGTGTGATTATTGTGAGGTTTTGTGTGAAATTTTAATTTTCAGCTATCACATTTCGTTAATTTCTTACTTTTTAGACGGGGTCCATGGACTAGAACACAATAACTTTTTTTAGAAAACTGCCATAAAGCAGTTTTTATTGCTATAATTTCTTCTGTTTTTTTCTGTCACCAATCAATGAAATGCCCTATCAATTGAGAGGTTCTGCACAACGAAAATTCGAACGAAGTTTCGCGACAGGCCTTGCGAAAATGTGTACGAATTTTCGCACGAACTTTGTGTTCTGCACATTTTCGTAGTTTGCACGCGCCAAGGGCACGTACAACATGACCCAATCTCACGAAACTTCCTACGAAAGTTCATTTCGCGTTCCCTGCAAGTTTCGCGTCCAAAGTTGCGAAAGTTCGTGCGAAGTTTCTCACTTCGTGACGTGGAGCGAAAGTTCGTACACATTTTCGTTTTGCAGAACCTCTCTAATATGTAAATGATGGCCTTCACATCATATCAATACCGTATTATACGCATTGATGAGCAAGCCTTTTCTTGCAGAAAATGGGACTAGCATGTTCTTCTGCGGGGATACATGTGAGTAGTGGTGGACCGTGGTGATACCTTTTTTATACGGAGGTCATTCTGTGCATGTTGCTGTAGCAGAATTTCATGACTCTGTCATAAAATTGTCTTGCCTTTCAGATATTTCAGATTTCCCCACCCTCGATCAGATTTATTTGAGAAATGTAACCAGGTGCGTGTCGCAGATGTTTTTGTTGATTCTGTGTTTATAATGGTTTATAATCATGGGTTATCGTGATAAGGTCATCCTGCACCATATTGCACTGAAATCGTAACCCTGTTGATGTCGATACAACTTTTGGAAGTAGTTCAATGACTTCGAACTGTTAGTCCACGATTTTCTAAAACAACACAGCAAAGGAGGAACAATAAACATGTATTAAAATGTAAACAAATACATTGCTGAGTCCGACACCTCGTTCCAACAACTACACTGATCCTGAGGATAAAAGGGGCAAGGCTATGGTTGGAGGTACTGAGAGATAAACAAGGCACTCCATAATAATAGAATCGTACACATTTTTTGGTGAGTATGAATGATATCCAGTCGAACCTCTTTAGGACGAACACCAAGGGACCGATGGTATTTATTCTGTGAGTTTGTCTTAACCTATTTTATAACCAGTGAATACAATTATTTCTCCAATAGACATACGAATAGATTTCTTCTACAGCGAAAGATTCTAAGCCACACCAACTCATTGACTCGTCTCGTATGAAACAAATGAGTCACTAGAGAGGTTTTGCAAAACGAAAATGCGTACAAACAGTCGTTCCACGTCCTGAAGTGCGAAACTTCGCACGAACTTTCGCAACTTTGGACGCGAAACTTGCAGGGAACGCGAAATGAACAGTCGTACACACTTTCGTGAGATCGGGTCATGGCGTACGTGCACTTGGCCCGCGCAAACTACGAAAACGTGCAGAACGCAAAGTTTGTGCAAAAATTCGTACACACTTTCGCAATGACTGTCGCGAAACTTCGTTCGAATTTTCGTTTTGCAGAACCTCTCTACTGAACGTTTCTTTAGCAACATGACGGCAACTGAAACAGCAACAGAGAAAGTACGATACATGTACAGCACATTCTTGCAGGTACTACAAACAGATTGCAGATCGTAATTTTTGCCTTGGCGGCACGAAACTTCATTTGGGGCAGTGCAATCTCGGCGGAACTCACAAATTATAAATCAAACATCCCAGACTCGAGTAAACAAATCTAATCATACAAGTTTACTGAACCTCTCCACAATGGAGATTTTCCCTGATATGCGAATTTATTTTGCAAACTCGGTCAATGGGTCCTTGAACCTTTCCCTCCAGATTGGGAACTGCCAACGATAGTATGCCACTGACCAGTGCCTTACTTGTAACGTACCAATGTACAATGAATATGAGTATTTCGACAACACATCTAACATAAGCCTTACCGTCAAGAAGGTGAACTCGCGTTCTTCGCACACTGTAGACAAGGGCAAAGAGATAAAAATGGATCTAAATCCGAATAAAATCAGCACACGTTTCCGTAAATGAAAGGGTGAGCATAAGCAAATGAATCGAAGGAAACCGGTCAACTCAGAGATCACCTGTCATCGAGTATTCCGTAAAAGGGGGCCTCGGCAGCGGAAAAGCTAAATTTAGAAAAGAGATCCTGCCAGCTTTTCCATTATTTATTGCATTCCGCCCAAAATGAGCACATTTTTCGTAAATGAAAGAGTCAACACAAGCAAAAGAATCAAAGGTAACTGGTCAACTCACCTGTCGATATTGTAATATTCCGCGAAAGGAGGTCTCAGCAGCGCCGAAACGAAATAAGCCAGGCCAGGATCTAGGAGACGAAGTATCCGAAACAGCTCATACAAGAAGCAGTTCCAAAGGAGGAAGTTCCTCGCGCATGCACATCCGAACACGGACTGCATGCACTGCATGCAACACAATGTCTGCCGTGCACGTGCACAGCACGCGGCTACCAACCGTTGCAGCGTTGGTAGATCTATACCGAGCACCTTACGTAGAAACTTACGTAGCCTAAGTGAAATACCGAGCACCTTACGTAGAAACTTACGTAGCATAGCGGTGTCGTTTTTCTTGCCATGTGAACACAATAATAGAAAAGCTGACAGGATCGCTTTTCTAAATAATAACCAGATAACAGTCCGACCTGCATGCAGCTAGCCTACACTACAGGGAAACCTGTGAAGACGAAAGCTCAAGGGACCTTCAAAATAGGGTCTCCAATATCCAGGGTCATTTGACTGGCATCCCTTGGTACATCATGGTCCTGGTTGAAGTGGTCTTCTAGGACAGGTGGTCCCTTATCCGAGTGGTCGCCTTGGCAGGTTTTACTGTAGCTGCATAATCACAGTGAACCCGTGACGCCCCAAGCGGCCCAGGCATGGACGTCCGGACCTCAGTTGGCGGATGGCACATACTGACATACATGTAGTCATTGGCAGAACAAGTACTCGTACTTTTCGTGGTATGTTTCATGCATGTACAAAAAGAAGTGGTAAGGAAGTGTCATGTACATGTAGATACTGTAGGTAGGTAGGTAGGTAGATAGGTAGGTAGGTAGGTAGGTAGGTAGATAGGTAGGTAGGTAGGTAGGTAGGTAGGTAGGTAGGTGGGTAGGTAGGTAGATAGGTAGATAGGTAGGTAGGTAGGTAGGTAGGTAGGTAGGTGGGTAGGTACGTAGGTAGATAGGTGGGTAGGTACGTAGGTAGATAGGTGGGTAGGTAGGTAGGTAGGTAGGTAGGTAGGTAGGTAGGTAGGTACGTACGTAGGTAGGTAGGTAGGTAAGTAGGTAGGTAGGTAGGTAACGTTACGTAGGTAGGTAGGTAGGTAGGTAGGTAGGTAGGTAGGTAGGTAGGTAGGTAGGTAGGTAGGTGGGTAGGTAGTACTGTACTAGGCTTTGTGAATAGCTTGACCCATTCTGAAAAGAAGTTCTGAAAAGAAGTTCTGCCTTTGAAAGAAGTAATGTGAATATAGTGCTGAGGTGGACTATCAGCTGTCTCCAGAGATCAAGACTAGTCTAAAGAGAATCAATCAGACCGGAAGTGCACATAGGAAGCTTGGCAGCAAGAGTCCTCCACGCAGAGGGTATCTCCACTGGCTAGAAGCAATTTCCCAATCTGGTACACCAGCAGAAGTTACACAACACCCACAAGGCTCGACTGGACTTATCCCGTTGATCCCAAGAGCAAATCTTCGACCTTTTCACTAGGGCTCAAACGATTAGTCCGATTAACCGGTTGCAGACCGGTTACGAAGAATTAACGGTTAACCGATAAAGATAACGGTTACGCAGTAACTTTTCAGTCAATTTTTCAAGTATCAGGTCGTTGAAAAGCATGCACTTTCGCAGGCTGTCGCACGCGTACGCAATTTCTGGGCTGTCAACTCGGTCATATCTGGTCTCTTGGCGTGAGAGTATGTATGAATGAGCATGCAAGAGAATGTACAAGTCAAGACTTAGGGTGCGTTGTACTGAATAGGGTACATTTTTTGAATGAGTATAGTCAAATATACGGTTAAAAAAGAGTCCGCAGGATTGCCGTGGCTTATAGGTTAGCTTACTAGTAGCCGTTAACCGTCAGGGGTAAAACCGTGACCGTTTGAGCCCTACTTTTCACACTTGATAATATCTAATAATACATGTAGTAGTAATATTGTACTGTGACCACTCCCTGCCCGCAGCCGTATACTAGTACCATACATGTACATGTACATGTAGTCCATCTACTCTCCACAGTACACTGCACTACTGTACCTCGAAGTACATACATGTATACCAACGATATTGAGTATATTGAGTATTTCGCTCCTGCTCTTGTAGCAGTTGAGCACTCTTGCGTGGGGTAGTGCCTTTGCTGTTTGCGTTATGCAGAGCTCACTGACTTGTCAGTTTGAGCA